TGTGACACCTCACTGGTTGAAGGCGCTTGGCTTGCCTGTGACGCCTCACTGGTTGAAGGCGCTTGGCTTGCCTGTGACGCCTCACTGGTTGAAGGCGCTTGGCTTGCCTGTGACGCCTCACTGGTTGAAGCCACTTGGTGTGCCTGTGACACCTCACTGGTTGAAGCCGCTTGGCTTGCCTGTGACGTCTCACTGGTTGAAGGCGCTTGGCTTGTCTGTGACGCCTCACTGGTTGAAGGCGCTTGGCTTGCCTGTGACGCCTCACTGGTTGAAGGCGCTTGGCTTGCCTGTGACGCCTCACTTGTTGAAGGCGCTTGGCTTGCCTGTGACGCCCCACTGGTTGAAAGCACTTGGCTTGATTTGCTTACCATATAAGAATCCAGTTTAGCTTGCCTTCTGTGTTCATTGGTCTATTGTATGATCAGCTCTTTGGTTCGCCTCAGGTACTGATTCATGTTTCCAACTTCTGGATGAGCACAATTGGATGAAAAATTAATTAACAGGTCAACAGAAGACATGAGTAAACTGTATTTTGTTGTCTGTGGCGTTGGTTCTTCACTGCCTTCTTCATCCTCCTCTTCGTCGACCTCACCAGCAACAGACTGGAGAATCTCGTCTTCACTCATCACACCATATCCTGGGTCATTGGCATCTCTTTCAAACCAATCAACCCCATCCTGTTGTTCTAAGTTTTCGCCAGCATTTCTGACCATTCCATGGATTTTGTCAATAAATCCTTCAAAATAAATTTCTTCATCCTCCTCATTGCTGACCATAGACGTGAGGAGATTTTTCCAGGAATTCTTCAAAGTCGATTCCTTTACTTCACTCCACACCTTGGCCCAGTTATAGATGGCTTCCTTAATTGTATAGTTCTTCAAATTCTCATTGTTTTATTTAGCCCTGTTATCCACACCGAGTTCCACATCTTCCGGAAGAGGAAAAATCACCAAAACTTTGTTGAACATCTTTTTGGTGTACAACCTCTTCGTGGCACAGATAACTCCCTGATCTTCTCATAGGTTGGATGAGAGAGGTTGTATTAGGAGGAAGTGCCATACACGTTATCTTGCCATCATGTGAGGTTAACGTGTGTCAATTCTGGGGTGGGCAGGCGCATTATCAAGCAACAGCAAAGCCCGAACTTCGCTTGGCCTTACTTTGAGATTTTTAACTTGATAGTCATGAACTTCCCTGCAGAACACATGGAACTAGGAAAGAAATCTCCTGTGTAAACCATGCATTCTTTGAGTTATAATATTTCACAGGCAGTCTGTCCATGCAATGTTGCAAAGCTCTTGGTTTCTTTGATTTGCCAACAATTGCACACGTGATTCTGTCAGTGCCGTCGGCATTCGCACACATCATGGCCAACAGCCTGTCCTTGTTAACCTTACGGCCTGGCACACAACCCTCACTCCTCATAGCTAGAGTTTTTTCTGGTAAACTCCTCCAATACAGCCCAGTTTCATCAGTATTACAAATTTGATAAGAATACAAATTATTTGACAAAATATATGTTCTTAATTTATGTTTAAATGGTTCTACACTGCTCGTATCTGCACTCAATTTTTCACCTACAATTTTCCTCTTCACAATATTGTGCCTCCCTTAGAACCTTGCAACCCACCCTTCACTAGCTTGGAAATCCTTTATTCCAAGGCCGGAGCTGAGGTTATTTGTGTGGGAGCCGGTCGGCCGAGCGGACAGCATGCTGGACTGTGATCTTGTGGTCCCGGGTTCGATCCCGGGCACCGGCGAGAAACGATGGGCAGAGTTTCTTTCACCCTATGCCCCTGTTACCTAGCAGTAAATAGGTACCTGGGTGTTAGTCAGCTGTCACGGGCTGCTTCCTGGGGGTGGAGGCCTGGTCGAGGACCGGGCCGCGGGGACACTAAAGCCCCGAAATCATCTCAAGATAACCTCAAGAAGGCTTTCTGCAAACCTGCTTGCAGCATTTTGTATTTCTGGGTCGCGAATTGTCACGCCAGCTGTGCGGTGCTGAGCAAACCACTTGTACACAGCCTCATCTAACTGTACATGCGTCGAAGTTTTCATAGTTTTTCTACCACACCCTCTGCTAGTGCTTGCACCTTCACTCTCACTGGTTGAAATGTATTTCAGATATTTCTCTTTTTGTTTCCTTATATCAGAAACAGTACTAGTGCCTATATTAAATTCCTTGGCAACACTTGTAGTCTACCGGCCATTTACACAAAGTTGTATAACACGTAACTTGTCTTTAATTGTTAGGACAACCTTCTTCTTCTTAACACCTCCAGAACGATTGATGCTGCTACCAGACATATTCTTGGACAAAAATATTCAAAGTTACTGTACTATGAAAATAAGTTATTTAAAAAAATATTTCACTAATGACGCGGCACTGTGGTGTAACATGAGGGACGGGAGCGCATGGCTTGACCAGGCTTGGACGGGTCCACTTGGGGCGGCCAGGCACATTACGTAGGCCGCCAGGAGGAAAAAACTCACAATAGTTTTGAAGGAAACTTCATCCTGTGCAAATTGTTTTTAGGAAACTTGTATATTTGTTATTACATAATTACTAGTATTTCTTTTGTTTTTGGCTATGCTGAATTGTTCTAAAATTAATGGTAATTCCTGTACTGTAGTGTATAGGTCCCTCCACATCCCCCTTATCTTCCTGGCTATTCCCCAGGTGATCCCTCCCAATGCTCCCCTCTTTCCCAACACCATCCACCCACCTCACCCCCTCCTACACCATGCGCCTCGAGCCACAGCCAAACGGGATTAATACGGGTATGGCCCGCCGGCCTGGCTTTTGTATCCAGACAATTCACCGTTTGTCCGGCTGACTGTCCGGATAGTGTAACATCGGCAGCAAATTAACCGGCCCAGATTTTTTATCCTGCCAAACACCCGCATTTCCGGCTCCCATGGACATTTTGGCTGGATAATGAGATAACTTTATCCGGTCACGATATAAGGCTGTTTTCCGGATATTCGAATTACGGATAATCACATGTCTACAGTATTCAAGGTTATTTGTAGATGATAATGGGATGGGAGGCTAGGATGATGATTTACAGATACTTGGTGACTGTGTGAGGAAAGAGTTGTGTGAGAGTAGCGCACACATCATCATACTAAACAATACTTGGTGGGAGAAATGCACTCGAATGTTAAATACAATATTTTTGTACCTCTCACAAGAAGTCTTATACACCTAGTCTTATGGAGTAGTGTATTGTTGAAATGTGGTGGTGCTGGTGTTTCATGATGAAGCTTATTTGTATAAGATATAAGTACAGAACAATGGTACCTTGGTTTTCAAAGTTAATCTGGTCCCAGAGACGGGTCGTAAGCAGAAAATTCACAACCCGAAACTAATTTTCCCATAAGAAATTATGTAAATTGAATTACTCTGTTCCACACTCTTAAAAATATTAACTTCAAATTACATTTCATGAATAATGCACACAAATAGAAGGTACTATAGTACGTACAATTTATAGCTTACCTTTATTGATGAGTATTGTTGGCGTATGGAAGACACTGAGGAGGGGGAAGGAGGAGAGGTGTTAGTGTTTGGAAGGGGAGTCCCCTTCCATTATAACATCAGGCAGTGATTACTTCTCTGGGGTACTCTCTCTCTTCTACGTTTTGCAGGCATACCACGCATACCACTAGGACCTTGTTGTGGCTCACTGCTTGTTTGTCTTACTAAGAATCTGTCTAAAGACACTTGTTTTTCCCTACATTTTAACACTTGTCTGTAGTGAGATATCACATTGTTATTACAAAGGTCAATGCAACGGCCTGCTACAGCTTTATTTGGGTTAGTTACTTCAACAAAACTTTGTGGTTCTTCCCATACTTCATACATTTTCTTAATGAGGGAGGGACATCCTCTACTGCCTGTACTCATAACTATTTATTTAGGTTGATCCTTTACCACTGTGTTTCTTGGGACCCATGGCTTGATATATAATAATCACCTTTATGTTCAAAAATCCAAAAAGCAGAAAAACAATGAAATTCTTTACAAAGAATTTAAGTACGATTGTCACTAAGCATGAGGCACTGGTAAACTGAAGCGTAGTTGCCCGTGCCACAAGGAACCACGTTCTCAGTCGACCCATACGCGTATCAGCAAAGTCCCAAGGCGAGGCAAAGTTCGTAACCCGATTCAAATTTTCCGAAGAAATTGAGTTCGTAACCTGAAAAATTCATAAAGAGGGACGTTCGCTTCCCGAGGTTCCACTGTACTTAGGAATAAAGGAAACTAAAGAAGGCCCATTGGCTTAAGAGGCAACTCCTATTAATATCCACTCAAACTCATTAGAATATAAGAATAAAGGAAACTGTAGAAGGCAAAAATATAATGAATCTTTAGCCTTCTTTTCCTATTTTGCTGGCCTATTTTCTCTGGTCTGACCCTCCCCTCTACCTCCCAACCCATGAAAGTACAAAATGACAATGATGATTAAAATTTCAAAATACCTTCTTTTGTTTAGCTCTGATATTTTCAGCTCAAGGATTCATTAGTTTTAGAAGTTTTGTTAGGGGGGCCATTAATGTTCCATTCACATTCACCAGCCCATTTGTAAACATACTGTACTTTCAGTGCATCAGTAATTTTATTTGGTCCTTCTGGGGATGACACATTTTTGGATAGACAATGAAAATTGATACAGCAACTCTTAGGTACTAAAAATGTTAAATGCAAGGGTAGTAAGGTTAAGTCATTCTACTCTATTCTGTTGGTGGAAATGGCAATAATCATTCGTCCATGTTAGACTTTATTTGAAATGACTCGTACAAATTGTTAGTTACAGTATGGCTGATGTTGAAATTTAGAATTTGAGGGAATCCTCCAGGAAGAAGTGTAATTATAAATAGGAAGTCATTTTGAGAATGAACGAACATAGCTTTTTGATGGGCAATCAATCTAAGTTGCATATTTGGTTAACAGAAGTGTAAGTTTTACTTTTCTTCAAATCATTCCTTCATTTCAGGCCGTGATGACATGCAGATGTGTGAACTAAGCCTGGATGAGACGGGGTTAACCAGGAAGCGTGGTGCTGAAATCCTTGATCACGAGTATGAGAAAGAATGGAACCGCCACGGTGGAAAATCTTATGAGCGATCAGCCGTTAGAAAACGTTGAAAGTTAAGATGGGATGGCTTAGTAAAAGATAGGTATCCAGATATTATTAAAATAGATTTTTGTTTTTTAATTGAAGTTAATATCAATTTATGAATCATCAGATTTTTATAGTTACATCTAAAATATTAAATATAAATTAAAGTAATAAATTGTAAAAAAAAATCAATAACAATATATTAGTAAAGAAATAGGTCAAATGCCTAGGAAATGTGGTAGCTAATATTAAAACATTATGCAGTAGTTTGTTACGGTGCAGCTGTGAAACAAAAGTTTATATAAAGGAATTTTTCTTTACAAAACTGTTAATTTTCTTTTAATTCTTTTGTATGGCATATATTTGTACACTAATGATGAGACAGGTTTTGAAACAGATTGTGACTTATCAAGGAAGACTTGTCAAGCAGTACTTCTGGTTTAGGTACTTTCAAACCCATCATGGTGCAGTTGGTAGTGTGTGTGCCTGAGGAGTTGAGGGATGTGGGTGTGATCCCATGTGTGGTTTCAAGTATTGTCTCAAAATTTGTAATTTCTGAGCTTAAAATGGAACTGAAACAGATTGTGACTTATCAAGGAAGACTTGTCAAGCAGTACTTCTGGTTTAGGTACTTTCAAACCCATCATGGTGCAGTTGGTAGTGTGTGTGCCTGAGGAGTTGAGGGATGTGGGTGTGATCCCATGTGTGGTTTCAAGTATTGTCTCAAAATTTGTAATTTCTGAGCTTAAAATGGAACTGAGACATCTATACTGTTTATTGGTGGTGAAGAAGATAGACTTTAAGGTGGTCTCTGATGATTCAACTTCACCAGTGATGGTGACCCAACATAAGCTGCCTGTATTGCCTTCAAAGCTGAGCCTCATTTATAGTAAACAATACTGGTCTGGCTAGTTTTATAACCAATCTAGTTTCCAGCAAAATTTTTCTTCCTATTGTGGGTAAGAGATACAACTTCATTATCCTTAAACAAGATTAACTTGTTGATTTTGTTTAAGGATAATGAAGTTGTTTCAGTGCTCTCTGTAAGTGAATATGCCACTGAGGTTTGAACACAAGTGTAGACACTGCAGTCTAGATCATAATGTTTACATCATTAATATTGACAAATATTTGATCATTGGCCAACACACAAAACATAAAATGTGTGCTTAACAAGGAAATATACTACAGGTTAACAACAGTAGATAAAATTGAGGGGCATTAATTGTTGTTTAATCAGTAAACTAGATTGTAGGCATTCGTATATTTCTAGCAATGACCAGTTACTGTGTAATACGTTAATAGTCACTGTAAGTTTTTATATTAAATATTCAGTGGAGTAAATGTTTGTGATATGTAGTTTGACAGCATTTGGGAGGGTGCAGTGGTGTTAGTATATGTGATGCATTGTGGAGAGTAGATATGCTTGGTACTTGTTATTGCTTTGGTTTAAATCCCATTTCTGGGATTAAAGATTTTTGCATATCTTAATGCATCCTGAAGGGAAAATATCCTATTTTTGTTAAAAGGTAAAGTTGCTGTCAGGTAATTATACAAAAAGCATCCTTGAGATATTGCTGCAATGATTCATGTGTGTTTCATAGAGATGACATAATTAAATTCTTACTTTTAATTAAAACATTGTTTTGTGTTTATATTCCTTTAAGTATTGGGGGGAACCTCTAATTTTCAAGTGACCCAATGAAGAGCATTCATAAATTACACGAAGTAGAACAAATATGCATAGTCCTCCGTTTGCTTTATTATTTATATTGACAAAAACTTGCTTATTTAGTGAGTCATGTTAAGTATATGGGACATTTGGTGACTATGAAAGATTTTGTCGAGTTTTTGCAAAAATCTTCATAATCATGATGAATATTCTTTTATATGTTTCATAAATTATTATTATTGAAAAGATTTAATGCTGCTTAATTTGTTGATTAACTATATATTTGCATATTTTTTACCAGTATTTCTTTATTGAAATACAGTAGCTTGTTAAATGCAAATGATTGTGGATTCACTGTACACATAGGGTTTAGGTTCGTGTGTGGAGAACTGTGTCATTCCAGTGTTCAGCACATAATACTGTGATGGTTATTATTTATCATTCCAGAAATATAAATCGTTCTTCACTTTTCTATCAATAAAATGTGAGTTGTGATTATTTCTACTGGATTATGTAAATTGCAGCCATTTTGCTGGATATAAATGTCACTAAGGCCATTCTTTTATTTAAGTTACTTTAGATATATTTTATATTTCTTCTGAATTGTTATGTATAGGCTTCAGTGGGAAGGTGAAAGTAGTCCATTTGGTTGCTGCTCGTAAATAGTTAGTGGCATTGGCTTGGTACACATGACATTTTCCAATAATTTTAATTCACCATACGAGGGCCATTGGTATGGGTTGCCCAAATAATTTTGAAATACAGACAGGTCATTCAACCTCAGAACTGTGAATACTTAGTCTCTGATTCTTATAGGTAATGGTCGTAGAAAGAGATGAATAAATATTGAGGTTGTATGATGAAATAGAACCTGCATCTCTGGACAGGCACATGCACTACCGACTAAACTAGAGTGCGTCCATTATGGTCTAGTCTGTAGTGTGTTCACTTGAGGTGCTCAGGGATGCTGGACTCGATTACATAGTACGACCTCAATATTTATTTATAGATTCATTATGTCCTCGTGATTTCATTGTGCATTGATGAACTTCCTGCATCATCAAGACCTGTAGCGGTATGATTAATTTGCATCTTAAGACATTTGCTAAATATATTTTGAATATGCCTATATTTTGTATATGAAAAAATTCTGGTGGAGTTTGCAAATTTTTTAAAGACTAAGATTTTTATCAAATACTGTAAACTTATTTTGTGATGTCTTATCTTATGTAATATTTTTTAATTGAAGCCCATTGTATGATATTGTACACTAATCACATTTTAGTTTATTTAGAAATTATTGTATTGGTATTTCATTGTTCATGTAAATGAATGCATCACTAGTAAACTTCCATAACAAACCCTTAAGTAAAAGCTTATTTCCTCATTTGTAAGTGAACACACAAATACACAAAATTCAGTAATGTGATCTGTATTTACAGAATGTTTAGACAGTGTACATGTGTATGAAATATTTATCACCATATATTCATGAATAAAATGGAAGTTAATTATTATTTTTATTATCTTTCATATTTTGTGGTATTGCACTTATATTTGGAATAAAGAAAACAAAAATGATATCTGAAGTATCCACCTTAAGAATAAACTCGTGAATGGTTCCAGTCACTGTATGGGGATTACCTCCTGTGATCCAATCACCAAATGTTATTTTGTTCCATTAGTTTTGTTAACTATTGTCACGTTCACCGCTCTGTAGGACTTGATTACCTGAGCCATCTAAGGGTTAAGTGTGTAAGAAGTAGTATATTCATCATTATCATTCCTTCATTTTCATAGAATGGGAAAGCAACAGGCAGGTCAGAGGAGAATTGGAGAGTAATGGAGGAAGAGAGGTTATAAATACTCAAGAAGACATTCATTCATTACAGTTTCTCCACTAAACAGCACCACTAAAAATGAGCATCATCATCACTCCAGCTGAACATTTACACTATTTTCCCCCATCTTTATAAGATATGTTACTGCATATAGTTTCTCTACTTCGATCATCCAATAATTCAGAATGTTCAGTTGATCTAAGCACCCTGTGAGTGTCATGGCTAGTGCCCTCGCACATTCTCCATAAGAGTAAGCAGAGCAGATACATGTCCTGGCCAGGGGTGGCATAATTGGAATCGTTCTTTTGCTGTTCTCCCACATGCACCCCCCAACCACTTGGACTGGACGATAGTGACAGTCTCGCTTCATGCAGGTCGGCATTCAGTCCCTGATCGTCCAAGTGACTGGGCACCATTCCTTTCCCCCATCCCATCCCAGATCCTTATCCTAACCCTTTCCAAGTGCTATATAGTTGTAATGGCTTGACACTTTTCCTTGATACTGTAATTCTCTCCCCCCATCCCACATGCACCTAAAGGTAGCTGGGGGGAAATTGATACATAAAAATTGGCAGATCATGTTCTGTGGAAAATATGGTATTGAATAACCTTATTGATTTCAATACTGTACCAAATCTTAGGCCTAAATCACAACATGAATTATTAACATACCTTTACCTCTGTACACACTTTTTAACCCTTAAATGGCTCGGCTAGTTAAAAATCCTTCCTCATTCTTTGCATGATAAAAAAATAGTTCCTAAAACTAATGTAAAAAAAAAAATTGCAGGTGGTGCTTCAAGTACAGGAGGTATTCACAGATAATGACTGTGTCATTTAAGGGTTAATTTTACAATTTATAAACTTTTGCACCCCGTTTCTACTCTTGAGTAATGCAAGTGTCCCATAATGCCTTTGAGCCTTTGTATCTCAATAAATATTTAATTTTACATTTACAGCAACCTGCATCCATATATGCCACTCCCACTCCTTAAAGTAACTCTCCAGCTACAAGATGTAGCACTTAAGACACTAGAAAATAGTAGGGTGGAACATAAAATAAAAAATAATAATTAGTACATTAAATGTAATTACAGTATAAATAGTATATTAAATGCAATATTATATGGTTTAGGCATTTAGAATTTGTAGTCTATAAATCTCAAAATTATTCCCTAGATTATCAAAATTATTGCCCTAGATATGCCCTAGAAATATTAATGAAATAAGAAAATATGTGAAAAGAACAAAAATGTTATGTATTGTGAAAAACTATCAAAATATCAGATAAATATCATAGACAAAATTACTTAGAAAATTAGTTTAATGTACTGGGTTTAAGATTATTAATTTGTAAATGTATAAGAGATGCACGAAATGTGATAATTTTGGTCAGAGTTACAGCGAGTCATGATGAATGACAGAATCTAAGAGAGGCAAATTGTATATTAAGATAAGCTCAGCAGCAGACCTAAATTTCCTTCACTCTGTTTAGATGTTAACAATAACAAGGTTTTTCTGGGGGAAGACCCTTTTGGCTCCCCGGAGCTATCCAGGCTGATATGGATATATTAGACTTTGGCATCAGTCAATGTGAATGGAGTTCTAGGCCTACCAGGGACTACGAGCAAGATCCTAGCATCCCTCCATCCCATCAGAGAGGCACGAGGAGCAATGGCCTATAGAAATACACATGGGTATGGCACATTTTGTCTGCCATCGACCGGGTCAGGCACTCAGGTAAGCATCCCAAAACAAACCCCTTATTCTGGTTGAAACTACTACTGAAAGTCAAACGAGTGGACAGAACTGCCCAAATGAAAATGAGCATGACGTCACCATGTTGATGCGCCGCTTGTCTGCGCAACTTCCCCCTTCCCGGGAAGGGGAAGGAGTCACAGACCCTCGAGCTGACGATCCACCCTGCAGTTCTGCGGCTGATGTGAATGGCATAGGTCGTTGTGACTCTGGCTCTGGATTTCTGTCCTCTGCTCTGTGCCTTGTGGTTTGGGGCCAGTCTTCTCTGGTGGTGCATGAGCCAGGAGAAGTCTCACAAGTACTCAGGCTGCATGCGCCTAGTGTTACCTTTCCTTCCCAAGACTTCACAGAAATATGCTGGGAAGAACAGCTAGAAAATGCAAACCTGAATCAGTGCCTGGAAAAATAAGCTCAGTAGCACTAGAAATATGTTCAAACCGCATACCCCTAAGAAGAAAGAGGAAGAGATGCAGATTGGAATGGGAACATCGTTTCCTTTATAGGCGAAAAAAACGAATTGCGGAACAACTTGAGTCACACCCTATCTCAAGAACAGCAAAGTAGGTTAGGAAGAGAAATAGAAACAATTGAACTAAAGCTACAAGAATCATACAAAACCCAGGAGAGGCAAAGAGAGGAAAAGGACATAAGTGAAATAGAAAGAAATCCAAAATATTTTTTCTTCTGTGCAAAATCAAGATAAAAAAAACACATCTAGTATTGGGCCCCTGCGAAAGGGAGAAGGAACTTTCACCGATGACAACAAAGAAATGAGCGAGATACTGAGGAAACAGTACGACTCTGTTTTCAACGAGCCACTAAACTCACTGAAGATTGATAACCCAAATGAATTTTTCACGGATATGATACCAACATCAAATCATATATCAGACGTCACCCTATCCCCATTGGATTTTGAGGAAGCCATAAACAATATGCCTATGCACTCTGCACCAGGCCCGGATTCTTGGAACTCCATATTCATCAAGAACTGTAAAAAAACACTCATCACAGGCCCTTCGCATTTTTAGGAGACAAAGCCTAGACACTGGCGTTATCCCTGACATACTAAAAACAGCAGAGATAGCACCACTCCACAAAGGAGGAAATACAAAAAAAAATTACAGACCGATAGCACTAACATCACACATCATAAAAAATTTTGAGAGAGTGCTAAGAAGTAAGATCACAAAATACATGGAATCACAGCATCTCCATAACCCCGGACAACATGGTTTCAGAACAGGGCGCTCTTGCCTGTCACAGTTGCTGGACCATTATGACATGGCATTAGATGCCATGGAAGACAGACAAAATGCTGATGTAATTTACACAGATTTCGCAAAAGCCTTTGACAAATGTGACCATGGTGTTATTGCACATAAAATTTGTTCAAAAGGAATTACAGTACCGGAAAAATAGGCAGATGGATCTACAATTTCCTGACTAACAGAACCCAATGTGTAATAGTCAACAAAATAAAATCCCGGCCATCAACTATGAAGAGCTCAGTCCCCTAGGGTACTGTGCTTGCTTCAGTACTTTTTCTCATCCTCATATAGGATATAGACAAGGACACAATCTATTGTACTGTATCATCCTTTACAGATGACACTAGGATTTTCATGAGAGTAGATAACATAGAGGACATGGCAAACTTCCAATCAGATGTAAATTAGGTCTTTCTGTGGGCTACAGAAAATAATATGGTGTTTAACGAAGATAAGTTCCATCTCATGCGCTACGGAAAAAATGAATATAAAAACGGAAACCACGTACAAAACTCAGTCAAATCATAACATAGAACGAAAAGGCAATGTAAAGGATTTGGATGTACTTATGTCAGAAGAATTTACCTTCAAAGTACACAATAAAGTAGCCGTCACAACTGCAAGAAAAATGACAGGTTGGATAACAAGAACCTTTCACACTAGAGATGCTATACCATGATGATACTGTTCAAGACGCTAGTGCTCTCTAGAGTGGAATATGACACTATGGCACAATGACAGCCCCTTTCAAAGCTGGAGAAATTGCTGACCTGGAGAGTGTGCAGAGAGCCTTTACTGCTAAAATCCACTCAGAAAACATCTAAACTACTAGGACCGACTAAAAAGCCTAAATCTGTATTCTCTTGAGCACAGGCGGGAGAGATACATAATAATCTATACATGGAAAACATTGGAGGGGCTGGTCCCAAACCTGCACACAGAAATAACACCACGTGAGGCCTGAAGGCATGGCAGGATGTGCAGAATACCCCCTTTGAAAAGCAGAGGTGCAACAGGTACTCTGAGAGAGAACTCTATCAATATCAGAGGCCCGAGACTGTTCAACACGCTTCCACTACACATAAGGGACATAACTGGCCGACCCCTCACAGTGTTCAAAAGAGAACTGGATAAGCATCTCAAAGGATACCTGGTCAACCAGGCTGTGATTCATACATCAGGCTGCGAGCAGCTACGTCAAACAGCCTGGTTTACCAGTCCAGCAACGAGGAAGCCGGGTCGATGACCGGGCCGCGGGGACGCTAAGCCCTGGAATAACTCCAAGGTAACTCCAAGGTAAGGTTCCCTAGGTGCCCTGTAAGTACTACTCTTGGGGCTTTCGGCCACCTTCCTCAAGTCACCTTGGGGTCTACCTCTGCTTGGTCGTGTGCTGTTTTTTTCTACACCCTTGTTTGCATTTGGGAAGGGGTGGAATGCACTGGTAGGGGCACAGGGTACTGCACAGCTAGTTATCACCTCTTATAGGGGCCGGCTCTGTTCCACCTGGGCATGTTGTCTTCTTGTGGTGTTTTCTTCTGTTTTTGTTTTCCTGTCTGGTGGGGGGGGGGGGGGGTTCTGCCCCTTGTTTTAGGTTGTTTCCATTGTCGTGGTGGTGGTACCTAATGGAGGTGGTACCTCCAC